CGTCCTCGGGGAAGTCTCTTATTAGAATTTATTCACTCAAGTGGGTGGGGTGGGGGGTGAGCGCTTATTTGAGTTTGATTGGGAGGAGGATGGGGTGGGCGCTTATTCGAGGCTGGGCGCTTATTAACTTTTTCTTCCTTTAGGATGGGCGCTTATTCGAGGTGGGCGCTAATTCGAGGTTGGGCGCTTATTCGAATAAATACGGTAAGTGGTATTGAAAACGCCATAATTGTGGCCCATCCGTTCGCCAATCCCGACTGAAGTGACACCGTGCTGCCAGAGCCACAAAACATTTAATGGTCTCGTTCAGTAAGGCTCTAACCTTCACTGACAAGCCGAATCGCCGAATCAGTAAAATACATGCCTTACTTATTCTTTAAAACTTATCGTTTTCAATTTTTTTTGTTTATTGTTGCCCGGCCATAGTGGTCGATCTTGCTTAAAACTGTAGTTGACAAACGCCAATCCAATGTCACGGCAGTGGTGAAAATTTCATAGCGAACGGACAAGGATAAAATCACATTTAAGGCGATTGAAAAATGTCGGTATGGTCACCGAAAAACTGTATCGAAACACCTTAAACACATTATGATTCAGGGATTGCATTCCGGATATTATCGCCCCATGTAAGGGAATTCGGATTCCGGAATCTGGAAAATTTTTGCTTGTGGAGCCAGGAATTCGAAAAATTTTTCTCTGTGGAATCTGAAATCCAGGGGCGCGATCCATTCAACCAAAATTCCGACCGGTCCGACCGGAAAAAGTGGTCGACATCAAAAGGTGCGTTTTTTCGAAACTTTTCCGGTTGGACCGAACCAGTCCATCGAGTTTTGGACCGAAGTTTCCGGAAATTTTGGTCAAACGGATCGCGCCCCTGGGCTTTGAAATCCGGAATACTCGCAGCAATTATTGCAATCCGGAATCCCGAAGTTCCACTGACGAAGAATCCGGAATCCAGTAGTGGGAATCCGGATTATCACACTGGTCACGGACAGTCTACGGTCAAAACAACTTCATTTATTTTGATCCAGGCATTTCAGAAAAAAAACTGAAGAAACTACAACCATTATTAACGTCAACATGAGAGTTGGTTTTTTCTTCGGTTTGCAAACCTGCTTCATGCTGAATTTGGTAAATCTGACAATTTTATATGGTAAATGGCGAATTTTAAACAAATTGGTAACGGCAATTAAAGCCAATTTCTAGATAGGGAAAAACCCATTTTGGACCAAATCCTCCTTTTTGAAACGGTTTTCGGTCTGTGACGCTTTTTTAACGCTTTAAAAGAGGTGAAAGTAAGTACGGTAAACCGAGAAGTAAAACAGTCTGTAAAATAATTTAAACAAATCACACTTCAGCTGGGACAACAGTAATTTCGATTATCATTCTTACGTTCTTATCCCTGGTCTTATTCGTGGTTCTTTTCTCGGATTTATTTCCCGGGGTTTATAGGAGTGTGACGAGACCACCAGAAAAAGAAAAAAGAAAGCACATTTTAGGGTTCAATAAAATGAAAAACAATAAAAATCGAAAATCACTCAAGACTGCGGTTTTGATTTTTATTGATTTTCAATATCAATCAATTAATTGCTATTGATTTTTATTGACTATTATTGATGTTATTTATTATTGATTTTGATTTAATGGTATTTTGCATCAGAGATCAAATCCTGTCACAAACAAATACAACAGGAAATCAATGTGCGTGAAACAGGCCAGCTTCATAAGCTCTCAATGTGGGACAAGAGGCAAAAACAACATTTTCAAAATCAAATTTAAGAATTCTCTACACCATAATCTACCCGGTGTTTAAAAGAAAATAATATAATTAGAACAAATGGCAGTTTAACAGGAGGTAAAAGTCGTCCTGGCCTACGTGCGTGACATCTCTTTGTCTCTGGGGTGGGTAGAAAACGAAGACGTAAGACCCAAGACCCAAGACCCAAAATCACTTATAATAAGTAACTAGAAACGGCTATCTTGACCCGAGATGTGTAAGAAACGACAAGATCTTCAATGTGACCAGAGTCTTCGTTTTCTACAGCCCCCACCCCCCCCCCCCCCCCCCCCCCCCCCCCCCACCACCCACACCCACCCCCCCCCCCACCCCCCCCCCAACACCCCCACACAGGGAGCGGCGCGAGGGCGCGGAGGACAAGACCCGCGGGGAACGGCCGCAGACGCACAAAGACAATGAAACTATCAGGATCTAAAAGTGTCCAGGGTCTCTCTGTTCTTCCACCCCCCCCGCCCCCCCCCCCCCCACCCCCCACCACAAATGTAGAAAACTCGCGGCGCTTCAAAGCGGCTCGAAACAGCCGTTCTCGACCTGAAGATACCTAAGATATGTAAAAACATAAAAATTGTTATAAACGGTCTGGTTTAAAAATAAAAATTGGTGGGAAGAGAGGTTTCAAAAGCTTTGTTTCTCAAAGACATACGTGAAGGCTTACGGTATTCGACGAAACGGAGCGAAAGTCTTTATCAAGACTGTTTAGACTGAGGAGAAACCATGCGCGTGATCGGTGAGTCAACCACAACATACGCTATGTACTTAAAACCCAGTGAAACCAAACCTCTGGTTAAGAAAATCTGTTGTTTCTATATTTTGAGGAGAATTCGCATAAATTTTGCAAAATTAGAGGAACGCTTTTCCAAGATTCAGCAGCACCACCAGTATATATCAAGCCGGTTATCAAGCCTTGTCTAGAGTCTAGCTCAAGGCGGCTCGAGGTTGCGAAATAAAGTTTCAAAATCAAAGCACTCTCTTTATGATTTTTTTGGGAAACTAATCGAGGCTGGTATGCATGTATTCTGTAGCCTGCGAGCAAGCTCTCCCATTTGGGCGAGCGAAGCGGCCGCGCGATCACGCGCGAGCGAGCGGCGAAGCCGCGAGGGGCCAAAGAAAGGTAGACTACGAGTAGTCTCCTATTTTTCCTCAGGGATAATAGAGCGAGCGAAACGCGAGCGCGCGTGAAATCACCCCACGCGAGAAAAGGCGACGCGCCGCGGGAGAGAGAAAAGACTGATTTAGCAACAGAACGGGAACGTCAGTTGACGACGGCGCGCACAAATCAAACTACAGGCTTGACCAATGGCAGAGAGGCAAATTGAGGACCGGAAGTCGTGTTTAGTCCTTTCTGCGCGCTTTCCCGTCGTCCACAGACCTCGGACAGAATGCAGTATTTCACAATTTTGCAATACAAATGCACTTATTCAATATTCAGGACGATCGAAGCACGCGTTAGTGAAACCGTTAAAAAAATTTCCAAAATCACCTATACGGCAAGCCGGTTCTCACTTTTGACAAGCGCCAAAGTCGACTGTTTAAATCAAGATTAATGGAGTTATATGCTTCAACATAATGGCTCTATAACGATGTGTAATCTTCAAAAGCGTTTGATACGCGCGGTATTTTGACTACACCTGCAAGCGATGTTCATGAGCGACTGAAAACAAACGGCAGAGCGATTAGAATTGCAAAAGAGACTACTAATAATCAGTAAAAGGAAAATAGTTCGGTGAAACATATACAGAGACAACAATTTTCATTCGCAAACACAAGTATTAAAGTGTCTCTGAAAATCCTTGTTTATGTTTTCAGCCGGCTTCCCGGTGCCAGTTGCTTTTTCAAAGATGCACTCGAGACAAGAAAATCGCTCAAAGCTTTCTTTTAAAGCCAGAATTATAACTTAATATTCTTTGGAACGTTTTCTTTCTATTTGCGGTGAAAAAGCTTATAATCAAACCTGATACTCGGTCAGATCATTATCTCAAATCTTACAAACGTGCATAAACTAAATAGCCCCATTAACTAGGCTCGACTTCATTAAATTAGTTATAAAAACAAACATCAAATACAATAATTACTCAGGCTTACCATTCGAGATGCACTGAAAACTAGCAAGTAAGGCCAGAATCGCTTCAGACTTTTCAACCCTCTTACGCATCAAGCAAGGTGAAAAACGAAAACGATGCCATCCGAAATCGGATTTCCGACGTTGACAAGCGACATATTTCTCAACCAAAAACCCACTAAACAAACTAGCCATGAATAACAGAAGACTCTTGATAGCAGCTGAATTTCATTTTGTACATTCAGTGGAAAAAGACAGTTAAAAACATCACAAGTTGACACAAAACTCTGTCAGCT